GTTATGCTTGGTACCAAGCATAAAAAGTTGTGCTTGGAAGTGAGGTGGCATAATCCCTTCCACTCATTCAAATGGTTGCATAACCCCATGCACTCCTCAATACATGTAAATATGGTCCTCTATTTGAATGAGTAGAGGGGATTGTGTTACCTCACTATTTGTGGCTTTGATAGCAAACTACCGTATATTTCTCATATATATATATATATTATATATCTTAGTATATATACTAGTATATATATATAGCATATTATTAGAGAGAGAGGAGAGAGATGAGGAGAGAGAAATGAGGATGATTGAGTCCAAGCCATATATTTTCGTGCGTTAGTAGTGAGTGGATGGCATAATCCCATCAATTCATTCAGAATAGGGGGACCGTATTCACATTAGTTGGGGAAGTGCCATCGGGGATATTGCAACCATTTGAAGTGAGTAGAGGGGATGTGACAATCACTACCAAGCCACAACTTTTGTGCTTGGGTACCTAAGCAAATACAATTTTTCTCCAATATATAAGTACTATATTATATATCTATATATACGGCTAATGATTTAAGCGTATAGTAGTAGTAGTTATATATTTTTTCATGGGTGATCTTGGGATGAAGAAAATATATATATGTATTACCCATGGATTTCGAGAGCAGGGGAAGGATAATTTTGGTTTGTAGGTGAATAAACGTTATACGGGTTTATACAGATATATATGAAAGGGTCTCCTGGATAGTAAAGGTATTAGGGTGTGCTGGTATTAGGCGATTTCGATGGATTTTGGGGTACCAAGCACAAAGATTAGTGTCGTTCTTTTTGGTAGTCACGAGATGCCTACGTTTAGTCCCTTCGCGCGACTTCTTATAAATGTTGTGGACAAAGATGACACTGGATTGGGTATGCGCTACAGTGTTAAGAGTGGGTTTGATGTGTATAATGATGAGTTACTTGGGTCGAGACAATCATTTTTCGGGCAGAGAGTAGGAACGGCAGAAACTATCCCTGAGCAGTCGATACGAGCAGAACTTTTGGACACGAATCGGTGGCTGTTAATATTGAAGAAGAGTGTGATCCTCAAGACATGTTATAGCTGAGTGCCTTTCTAGCAATGGATTATGTCAGAAAGCAGTCGCTAACTCTCTTATGTGTAGGATTATTGAAGCTTTAGTTGACCTTTCCATCGGAAAGACAGCGCTTGAAGATAGAGGTTGGATGTTGAAGACTGCTATAATGCCGGCGCGGTTCGGGGAGCTTGAGTACGCAAGGTATGTATGAGGCCCAGATTTTTCACAAAATGCGTGAGCGATGCGTTGCTGGAGAGTACATCGATTGATCCTGTTACCTTCTTGTTTTGGATATGAATCATAATTAATTCAACTTCTAAGCAGGATGTGTAGACCCGCTTGCTTGCACTGTGTAGTGATGGTGATGGTGTGCTCTCGCCGGTAGCAATCAAGTGTTAGGCAGAGAACAAACAGTGATCTTTGGAGATAGGTGGGCGATGATGAAATTTGCGCTTCAACGAACGTTCAATATGTATGGTTTGATGTGAATTTTGGTTTGTAAGTGTACCTGGATGTATCGGCAATTCTACTAGTTAATAGTCCAAATTACAAACATCATATTCAATTGATTCTCACGCATGATTTGTGGGCCACACGATTATTCACATCAATCTTTCGCTGATGTTTTGTGTTTATTTTTACTGTTAGAGATATATTGATCTCTAGCTATTATCTTTTAATCTAATCATTGACCACACCGGAATAAAGTATTGAAGTCATTTAATTACATGGTATACTCCTAACCTTTGAGGAGGGGGCAAGATCTAGGAGAAAAAAGCTCTCTCTAAAAAGAAAGAGAACCCACATTTCTTCATCTATACAGAGGAGCTGTAGATCCTCTGGGCATGCACATTGCCACTTTAAGAACCACCTCGGTTCCTGACCTTCCACTTCCCCACTCGAGTTTCACTAACTTGATCGTCGGAGAAACCACGGGGGAACCGGTTCCCGCCCTCTCACAGGTTCTTCTTGTCTGTGCAGCGTGGACATCAAGCCTATGTTCAAGAACTAGGTATAAAATTAGAGAATGAAGCGGCCCCTTCATCACTCTCCCCTACCCCGTCCTGACGAGGACCCAGGGGGACCGATCCAAATCCAGACCAGAACCAATCCCAGCCCGGATCCAATTGACTATTTGGTCGTAGTCATCGATAAGCGGGAGAAGGGGAGAATGATTCTAGGGTTTTGTTGTGTGGCAGAATCCGAAAAAGAAATGAACGTGAGTTTTTTTAATCCAAGATATTAAAAGGTGTTAGTTTTTTTATCCCAATTCCAGCCAAAGCCCTTTGAATTGAGTTTCTATAAAAACCTCACTCTTTCTCAACTTTATAGAAACCCTTATCTATAAACTTGTTGTGAACCAAACACAGTAATAGGATACCACCAGATTACTTTTTTTTACAATAATACCCCTGTCAGATCCAATTTCTATTACTAATTCTAATATAGGGTGAACCAAACACCCCCTAAGGATAAACCTTTGGTTCTGAAGGAGCCGAAAAAATATGGGATAAGAAAGAAAGTGATCTTCCATGGGAGAAAGAGATTACTCACCATTAAATATCTTGCTTGTTGATTATTCTCTATGCAAAGCCCTTTCTAATCCTGTAAATTCTCAAGAACTTTTTTACTCACATATCCTCTTCCTTATATCATGTTTCAGTTCTTTTATTTTTTTATTTTTATCAATAACACGATTTTTATAAGAACAATTTTTCACTTTAGCCCTTTTAAAATTTTTTATTATTAAAATCGACCCTTTTTTCTTTTATTTATCAAAACCGACCCGATTTCTTAATTATCGGCTTAATCACATTCCTAATTAGTCGGGGTTGCCAACCCCGACTATTTAGGAGGGTCTTAAACCCTAATTAGAAGCCTTAAACCCTAAAAATTAATATCCTAAATAGTCGGGGTTGGCAACCCCGACTAATTAGGAATGTGATTAAGCCGCTAATCAAGAAATCGGGTCGGTTTTGGTAAATAAAAGAAAAAAGGGTCGATTTTAATAATAAAAAAAAATTAAATAGGGCTAAAGTGAAAAATTGTTCTTTTTTATAAACTTTGTGTAGCTAACTATTGCTATATTTCCTCTCCTTTACTAGTTTGATGTTAAAAATATCACATCTTTGGTTAAGTCTTTCATGGCATGCAATTTTATTTGGCTATATAAATTCCAAACTTCTAGCTTTTCTAGTACAAGCAGGGTTAGTATGAGGGGTGCGCGGTTTTGTTGAAGGCTTAATTGCATATTAGTTCCTTAGATTATCCTTAGCTGCGAAATAGTCCCTCAATCTCAATATTTACCCATTAGACCTTTGTATCTTCAGTTTTCATGCAATATGATCCTTCCGTAAGAAAATCTATTACTCCGCTAACTATATAGCCCAACATCTCAAGTTACTTTATTGCCCTTGAAGATGAAGAGAAATGTATTATATTGGAAAATTTTGAATGTTATATGAGTTTAGAGGAAAGCTAGCCGTTGAAATCACGTCGGCTTTTGGTTTGGAGAAGCAGGGACCCTTTAAAAAGAAAGAGAACATGTTTGCATTTTTAGAGGGAGGGGGTTTCAGGTTTAAACCCGTCATAAAGCGGGCATGTGAGGTTATGATTAATAGAGTTACTATGGGTGAGGGTGTATCAGGTATTCCATCTAATTACCCCTTATTATTAACACAATCTAGCAAGAGGGACGGATTGACAAGAAAGTTAAAGATTTAGCGGCCCAATTTAACCCTTGTTATTAACACCACCTGCCAAGAGGAACGAATTGGCAACAAACCTGAAAATGTAAGGGAGTAATAAGCAAATAATGAGATATGAGGGGTTCATTGGCAATTAATGATGAAGTAAGGGACTAATATGCAATTATCCCTTCCTAAAATTGAGGTTCA